TTTTCTATGAAACTCCGAATCGCCTCGATGAGCGCATTGGCATGAACAATATCAAAATGCATGTAAATCCTAAGGGGAAACCGATCAAAATGATTTCTTGCTGTTGCTTTTGCTAGACTAGAGCGAATAATGCTCATTTGAAATATATATGCACCAAAAAATACTCCTCCAAATATTTGGAAAAATTATGAATTTTTCATCAGAAGGAATGGAATTTCTTCCAAGTGATGATGAGTTTTGAAACAAAAAGCGATTCACCTTTCTCGATTGCTCATCAACAGATCAGTGATGATTACTGTTCAACAGTTGTCGACAGTTGTTCATTGTCATAACTCAATAGGGAATCACAACTTGTTACGAATATCTGAATGCCTCTTTTCCAATATGAATTGCTACATTCGCCATTCTTGACATTTCGACCCATGATAGCACGATCCACGATGGGTGACAGCTTCTGAAATCATCCACGCTCTGGAATCATGCTTTCAGCATTCATTCAGAAGCTTCAAAATGATACAATGATTGATCAGTGCAACACTTTCATCATTGCTGTCCTGAACAACTCGGATGTGCGAAAGCGTTCGAGTTGCTTTCAGTGATGAACTGCGGAAGCATCAGCTAAGGACGGCAATGCATGTCCCAGCATGCATTTATGCGTCAAAGAGTTTCGTAGATCTTTTTTGGATGTTGTTGAATTGATGCGAGTGCTCTTGATGACAGAGTAGTTTTGCGATGAACAGTGTCCGTGATGTGAGAGTGTTTACATTTCGGTTTCGTTCTATCGGAAGTAAGCAATTAGTAAAAGCGANAAATTTATTTTGCGAAATGAATATGATGATATGAAATATGTGATATCTATAATTGCGTGTGCGTATGTGAACGAATTGGTCGGATAATCATTACAGATAATGTTAATCTGATTCAATCCGCTAGTAGATTATGCTTCTTCCGCATTCCATACTTGCGACTCGCGATTTCGACGAATTGTGACTGATGTATAAACAACCGAGACATGATTCTTGTCGCATTAGCGTGATAAACAGCAGTACATGTGAATTTCCACTGATAATTCTCGGTTGTTTTCAGTATGACGGCCTCAGCATTACGGGCTGCCGCATCGTTAACACCTTGCAGTGATCTTGATATGTCATTAGCGATGGACACGAGCATACCGATCGCCACCGAACAATTGAACGATTCTGATGATATGATATCTGCTGATAACGCGATCAGTTTACTCTTAAGAAATGCACTCGATTCGAGTCAAACGTTTTATGAAACAACGCAACTCGATTCTTTGATTCAATTCATTTACGGAATCGCTTTGCAAGGTTCACTTGTTTGCTGTTTGTTTCTGATAACTGATCGAAGCCTTTTGACTAACTTCAAGCAATCCGCAAAATGGATTCGAGAATTTTAAGAAGACTTCTGTGAGATTATTTTGAATATGTTGAATATGCAGAATCTGATAGAGCATGATCGTATCAAGTTTGAGAGGTCTAAAAGAGTCTTGATCTGCAGGGTACTCGAACGAGAACGGCGAAAAATCTCGATTGGATTCAGCTACAGCATTACTGGAATCGTTTGATGGTTTCGTTCTCGTCCTTAATTCAGACGGAATGCTCGACTATATTTCTAGCAAAGCTTCAACATACCTCTATTATTTACCTGTGAGTGCAGACTGTCAATTTGTAAGGGGTTTGAATAGCTGAACTTACCGAATAGAGCATTCACGAAGGAAAAACTGTGAGAATCCACCTGTTCATTGGCTTTTGAGAATGAAGTAAGTTTGAAAGTGAGATTAGCCAACCTTTCGTGATCATCTGTTGGATTAGACTAAAACTGATCTGGCCCATAAAAATTATGCGTATTTGCAGATTGAGATGATGCATCAGTCGATATTCAACTACATTTCACCGATTGATCATGATCTCTTCAACAAATTGCTTCCTGATCAGTTTGGTGAGTTCTTGTTGCCAATGGCATTGTAATATGCCTTATTGTCCTCGGCACTTCCGAATTGTTGCGTGGGTTTTACAACGAATTGTTGTGCTGGAAATGATCAGCTATTGAAACTTTCTAAAACGGACAAGAAAGAAGTCATTTTGCACTTGTTTATCTGATCCCAAGCAGTTAAATGAGGCTCATAACGATTGATAAGCACGATAATGAACGGTGCCACCGAACAGCTAGTTGTCCCTAATAGCTTCGAAACACTTGAAGGTGGCCTGGAAAGTGAGAAGAAGGCAATTGGATTCCACAATTTTCCGTGTCGCTTCCTGCCGCAACTCGTTCCGTCGGCGAATTCGCCTCGCGATATCGCCCTCGAAATATCCGCAGTGGTCATCTCAGAGCCAAACATCTGCATTGATGGCGGTGACACGTGGAGCTGCTTAGAGTCGCCTCAAAGTAGTGGTAAGCCTTTTCTATGTGCTCATTGAATTCAATGTACGGTCTTGCGAACAAAATCTTACCTGCGCAATCAGAAACACTACGATGGTGTTTCCTGATTGCACACATCAACCTTCACTAACCTTAAATACCAATGCATACCTTCCCTTTTCTAATCCATCTTCAGCAATATAATTCATCGCCAAAACACTTGTCTTGTTTGATATAAAACGGGAAACGTTCCACTATGTAGTGGTGATGAATTTCTAGTTGCCGAATGCAAATACAAATGACGTTTCGTTCGATTACTTTGATATTATTTGTGATATGAAATTTTGATGGTTTCATTGATGTGCACCTATAAAAAACATCTGTCATCGATTCATCTGTTTATCAACTTTTCAACAAACTCTCTGTTCATTGTTTTTCGTTGTCTCGCTTGAGAAATTGCCGAAGTTCACGATGATTCAGAAATTTGAAATGTGTTTCCAATCTCGCACTCAATACTGCTATATCGAATTGAGAAGCAAGGCACGTTGCTGTTTGCCTTTTTTGAACAAACATTTTTTTCAGTCATATTATCTCTTATCTCAGCTCCACCATCAATCTGGCGTCGTGCTGAACCTCTCGTGAGCACGAACTTTTTTGCCTCAATATTCAACGTTTGCTCTAGTGAACATCCGAAAAATGAACTGCTTCAATTACGCGTAGGATGATTCAGTCTTTCACCAATGTGATTTCCACGGAAATTTATCGCATTCGGCCTCTCAGAGCAACAAGTCGAGTTGACTCGCAAACTCACACGTAAATTTTGATGCACCTTGCTCTCACCTGACAGCTCCTGTTCTCTTGAACACAATAGAATGGGTCTCCTCTTGATGTGTCATTCCATTTCTTCGCGAGAGTTTCAGATGCTACCAACGGATTTAGAAGAGTGCTTGCTGCATCGACATCATACACTTCATACTTATAGTTTGATCTTTTATTTCATGGTAATTTGAACGCTTGCTTGTAGGTGGTAATTCTTCATCGTTGANATCGTCACATGATGGTGGTAATCTCTTATCATCGCTCAAATTATCGTTCTCAAATAAATCTCATTTTGTTTTTCTCTTCTATTGGATCGCAGATAGTTGAGCGGTCGCTCGGTCTCGTCGCTTATTCACCGCGACCACCACAAACGAACGAACGATTTTTATCGTTTTCGCGTTGGTGTCTTTAGCGCTGTTTACAAGATGCTGAAAAAATAATTCTACTGACGATGAGACGACGACTGAATACATTTTTCGTTCGTTCGATTAGAGCACGAATAAAATGATTTTTTGGGGATTATCAGCCGAATTGGATCCATCGTTTGGTGCATTTTTGTGCCTTTTCATTCAACAAACCCTTCCACATTCTGTTCAGTGACAACAATGTTTAGCACGGTTCGGTTGTGAGTTTTTTCTACAATATAATCGTCTCAATCGAAAAATATTCGTTATCTCATCACATAATGTTGCATTCTTTCTTAGACATAATGTGGTTTTTAGTCTTTCAGCGCTTTCTTCATTTTGTTTCTAATTTAAGATTTTCAAAAATCTCTCATTCATTTACTTTGATTTGCCGTCGAATTTTCTTTCGCATTCTTTCGAGTTGTTCGTATCAAATTACTTCAGCATTCCACATTGTGATCATTACAGATTCATCGTCAATAGCGCATTTATCTACTGAGATGGGTTGTCAATTTGTTGAACGAAATGAATTCAACGATGCGCTGCGATTCATTACTCCAGATTC